CAGGCGGGCTCTGTGGACAGGTGGGCTCCGTGGGCAGGGCCTAGCCAGTTCCCTTGCTTGTTTCCAGCTATCGAACAGAGCTGTGATCAGGAGGAACGTGGGGGCCGGACCTCGGTGAATCTGCGCATACGAAGGACCCAGGTGCGGTCACCAGCCAGGTTCAGGTTGCAGCTCGTGACACACGGCTCTTTACTTTCTTCTTTCAAACACAAAATAAGTTCCTTGTTGCCACCGGTTTTCCCTCACGACAGTTTGCACTTGGAGACCGCGTCACTTTATTTCTCGGTCTGTCACCACACTTCCACTCTGGAGCAGAGAACTCCCTGCCTACCTTGGGGTCCGTGGTGGCAGAAGGTGGAGAGTGTGGCGCCCCGGCCGCCCACCTGGTGTCCAGACCTGCCCTGCCCGTTGCCGGCTGGCCTGAAGCCCTGGGCTGGGCAGTCTGTGCTCTCCTGGAGACGGGGGCTGGGAGGACGGGGAGGCTCCCTGTGAAGTCAGACGGTGCGCACGTTTCTTAGCCTAGACGGCGTCTCAGGGTGCTCCGTGACTGCTCCCTCGCCAGAAGGCGTGGTGTGACTGTGGGAAGTGCAGTGTTTTCCACCCATCTCGAGGGAGGAAGTGACCGTCTCGTGATTTGTCCCGCTCTGCTAGCACTCAGTCCTGTCTCGGAAGTTCGTGGAAGTCATAACGGAATATAACGAAGCGCAGACGCTGTTTCGGGAGCGAAGCAAGGGCCGGATACAGCGGCAGCTGGAGATCAGTGAGTAGCGCCCGGTGGGGCACAGGGCCTGCCGCCCTCTCCGCAGGGCCGGCTCCTGAGCGCTCGGAGGGTGGTGGGGTACGTCCGGCCGCTCTCTCGGCAGGGCGCTCGGGGGCCTTGCTCTGTCTGTCTTCAGCAGTGTTGAGAAGACCTTTCCTGGCTGCCTGTTCCCTGAACTTCCAAACCTAGTATTTATTCACATGCTTCAGAAATTCCAAGTGGGCTTTAAATTCCTGTCCTTTACATACTTTCTGTTTTGAAAAGTTTTACCCATTTATCTTTTCCGTAAGTAAGAGGAGTAGAGAGCGAGCACCCCAACGAGGTCCCAACACCATTTCCCACCCAGCCCGCCTGCCCTAGCTGCTGGTGCCCTCGGGGCCCTGCACCTCTCCGC